CTGAAACACTGTCATAACCGCACCTGTGGCTTGGGGAACACATGTGCGAGCCCGTAGAGGTGGAAGGGTAGCCGCAGATGTGGAAGTTGGCGTGAATGGGCTGAAGCGCAGATGCGGATGATTGGTCGCACCTGCGAAACCGCAGGTGCGGAGGGTAAGGCGCAGGTGCGAACTTCTGGTTTTAAGTGAAAACCGCAAATGCGGTGTTTTGGACGTAGATGCAGTACCACATGTGCGGTGAAGGGACCGTAGGTGCGAAAAGCCTGGGTCATAACATATATATATCACCCTTCGCGATTTAGAGTGGATTTTCACCATATTTCATTCGGGAAGAAGCTTTGGAGAGCTAATTGAAGGGAGAATTCAAAAGGGTTTCTTAGATGTAAGGTCATTGGTCCCTAAACTCGTTTTTATGATGATTTTTAAGGTTGTAAGCTTGAAATCTATGGGAAAACCAGTAGCAAATTGGAAGTTAGGGCTTGGAAAATTGTGGACCTAGAATTAGGGATTTGAGGGGTCATTTGTGGGAGGATTTTGGTACTTTTTATATGAATGAATTCGTGGGGGAATAAAGATTCCATTGATGTAATTTTTATCGGATTCCGAGACGTGGACCCGAGGATCGGATTTGGTCAATTTCGGGATTTGTGTTGGAATTTGATTAATTTTGAGTGGGCGTTGTTCCCTTAGCATATTTTGATGACTATATACTGATTTTGGTTAGATTTTGAGCATCCAGAGGCCGATTCGAGAGGCAAGGGCATCGCGGGCTAGAGTTTGGACCGGATAGAGGTAAGTAATGATTGTAAATGCTGTCCTGGGGGTATGAAACCCTGGATTTCACATTGTTGTGCTACTTTGAGGTGACACACACGCTAGATGACGAGCGTGGGGTCGTGCACCATTGAGGATTGTGACTTAGTCCATCCCGTATGATTGTTTAATCGCGTATTTGATTGAAAATTGTTTGTTATCATCATGTTTTGGGCTTAATGTCATATTTGGGCCTCGTACCAATTGTTTTGGGCTTATTGCATTGTTCTGGTTTTATACTACCTCTTTGTAGCATTTTATTGTGTTTTACGTGTTTTCTTATCGTTTAGCTGCCTTTACTTTTATTACTTACTAAGTTTGCGTACTCACATTACTCCCTACACCCTGTGTGCAGATTCAGGAGTCTCGGGCCACGGTAGCGAGGGCTAATTTGTTTCCACCACAGGTTTCTTTGGAGTTGACTAGGTAGATGTTCGGCGTTCGCAGCCCAGTGCTTCTCCTTCCTATCTTTACTTTCCTTGTACTAACTTTGTATTAGACGGTGTAGTCTTTTTATACTCTTAAACGGATGTTTAGACGCTCATGACTGGTGACACCCCGATGACGGGCTATGTTATTTCCACAATTGTTCTATTTCGCTCTTTATTTTGGGATTTATAGTTTATTTATGACTTAAAATAAATTATTATAAATGTGTTAAATGGTTTGAGGGTTTGTGTCGGCTGGCCTTGTTTCACGAGAGGCGTCATCACGACCGGGTCTGGTTTGGGGTCGTGACAAATGGTTCTTTATTTTCTATATTTGTGTATACAGAAATGTCTTGAATATATAATTTTCTCCACTCGTTGAAATTTTAAAATAGGGGGAAAAAGTAATATTTAATCAAATTATGACAAAATTAACGAAGAAAACAATGTTTATAACGTCTTCAATGACAGAATTAATTGTCAAACTGAAAATTCACATATCTATTCTTTTGGTTTTTCCTTCTCTTTCCTTATTCATATCTTTTCTTTATATTTCTTTTTTCTTTGTAGTTGTCTATTTTTTTGCTTACCTTTATATCCTTTGCTTGGAGATGGTGTCGTTTCACAGTAGGAAATGAGTTTTACTGTTAATAGCAATTTCTGTAGTTATAAGTTTTTATCATGCTTTAATTTCTTCTAGCGGAAACCGTTAGAGTATTAAATTTTCATAGGAGTATTTATTATTGTCTTATTGAGTATTTCAAGTCGGCAGATTTCTAACTCTAAATTTTCTCTCTGAGAAGATAAATTCGTCACAAGTACCCTCTCAAACCCATGTGTAATTCGATATATCATTACTATTAACCTCCTTAGAACCCGAAGTAATATTCTAACTTCTGCTTCACTTTTCGATTCTGACACTTTGCAATTCCTCCATGAAAGTACAATTCTCTCCAACCTTGCTTTCCATGTAACACTAAACGCCCTCGAATTAAACTTTCTTAATGGCTGAAATTTCAAGCAGAGTAACATTACATATAAATAAACATTCATTATAAGGAATCGGATGAGACTCTAATTATTTAATAGAGGGTTTTGGACATTTTAACATAAGTTGGTTAAATAAACTTCTTTTTATTCTTAACAAATCAAATCGCAAATTGATTAATAACATATTAACTTTGCATGTCAGGGACAATAATTTTACCTCCCGAAAATCTAATACCACATGCAGTAGTTCATTTTGGGCTGCTTCACTTACTGCATCATTAACTATAAAACTTTAGCAACTATAACCAATTTTTAATCAAATTCAATCAACAAATTCAAACTAAATGATGAACAACAAAGAAATAACTGAAATTATTTTGACTAAACAANAAATTTAAGAAGGTAAGATTATTAAACACGTGCCTAAAGAGACTATCGCGTTACTATCTTGGGATGGGCCGCGAAATTCGCTAAATGGCCCCTCCNTAACTGAAATTATTTTGACTAAACAATATTTTTTAACAACAAACCTACTTTCAGATTCAACAACAATAACAAACAAATTTATTCAAATTCGAATTAAACTTAAACGGAACAACTAAACAGATTCAAATCACTAAACTCAATCATCAATTNTATTTATTTTTAAAGGATAATCCTAAAGTGACTACATTTTTTTATTAAATTCGTCTCTATCATAAAAGAGAAAAATCCTAATTGATTACATGCTTGAAAAAGGGCGTAACATATTAATTGTTAGACTTAGACAAATGTTAACGGAAAGGAATATTACTAAAACTTGAANTGACATTAAATCACTTGACGAAAAACTAACAAACTTCAAACAAAATGAACACAAATTATATCCAATACAAACAAAGACCCGGGTTCGAATTCAAACCAAATCATCGGAACACAAACACAATCAGAGAACGAAGAAAAAGATCGGAAGATGAACTTGCTGAACGAAAACTAAAAGAAAAAGAACGGAAACCTACTAGTTTGAAGCCCGGATTCGAACGGAACCTCGACGCACTGCAACTCGACGAACTCGACTGAGCATGACCTGTATGTGTGACCCCGACCAAAGCTCGAACAAACGAGATGATTGGGTCTCGTTTTGGACTAGATGCGACGGGCTACGGTGACCCAACTGGACGATGACATACTGTCGTGGTGGAGCTGGGGTCAGCCATGGAGGTGAAGCAGCGGCGAGCTGCTGTGACGAATGAGGCTAGGCTCGCGACTAGATCTTGGAGATGGCAGTGGTCGTTCATGGCTGGAGCTTCGCGCCTGGAGGAGCTGGGCATTCATGGGGCTGCTGGGTGGCGAAGACGAAGTAGTGGCAGCGTGGTCGTTCATGGCTGGTCGTTGGTTGAAGGAAGATGGACGACGGGGCAACTGCTGCGTCAATGGCAATGTGAGCTGAGTGGTCGTTTGAGATGAGAAGATGAAGGTGAAGGGGCAGCCATTGTCGAGCTTGAGCTAGACATGGAGAAGACGAAGAAGATGGCAGCCATGGGAGCTCGAGCTCAATGACGAAGACGAAGCTGGGGCGATGGGGGTGCTGGGTCTCGAAGATGGACATGGCTGGGGGGTCGACGACTGTGTGTGTGCGTGCGTGTGTGTTGAAGGAGAAGAGGAGGTAGCCATGGTTGGGAGCTTGGGGTGCTTGGTTTGGAGAAGAAGAGAGGGGGGGCGGATGTTTAGGTTTAGGGTTTGTTTGTGAAAAATGAAAATGAAGTGAAGATAGGAGGTTGGGCGGGTGGTTTGGTTATGGGGGCGGACCGGGTCGAGTTGACCCGATACGGGTTTGGTTCTTTGGGCTTGTGGTTAAAAATTAAAGAAAAGGTCCAATCCGATTTTCTTCTATTTTTGTTCTTTTCTATTTATTCAATTTTCTAATTAACAAAGCTAAAATTCTAAGATTAAATTATAAAACCCAAAATTATCTAAAAATACTAATTAACTCCTAATAACAATTATCACACATAATTAAATACCAATTAAGCATAAAATTATACAATTGGACATTAAATGCTAAAAATGCAAAATACATATTTTTATGATTTTTTCATTTTGTAAAACAAACTTAACTACTCCTAACTGTAGAATTAAATATTAAATGCAAATGTGACTTATTTTTATATTTTTTATTAATTTAACAAATAAACATGCACAGACAAAATACAAATAATTATCCAAAATGCCACGAAAATTCTCAAAAATTGCACGCAAAGAAAAATTATTTTATTTTGAATTTTTTGGGAATAATTCTCATATAGGGCAAAAATCACGTGCTCACAATTACTTTATCACAACTATAACAAACTTAGCCCGAAGCACGACAACAAAACCGATAGGACATCCGTATATCAAAATCTAACAAAACATGCAAAGTTCAATTGATTAAGAAAGTAATAAGACTATGAGGGTGTTTGGATTGGCTTATGTTAAGTGCTTATTGGCTTTAAGCACTTTTTAAGTTTGTGTGGTGTTTGTCAATGATAAAAAGTGCTTAAAAGCACTTACTTTTAGCCATAAAAAATACAAAAAATAAGCCAAAGCCAAAAGTTGGGTATTACCAACTTATGGCTTTTGGCTTTTATCTTTAAAGCTACTTTTTATAAGCTAATTCAAACACCCTCTATTCCTTTTTCTTGATGTACATCATTTTGTAACGGTTTAAGTACTACTATTTAAATTAAGAAAAGCAATAAAATATTCTGACAAACGCTTCTCCTAACATACATATTTACAAAAAAAATGTGTTATTTACAAATAAGTATAAATTAATTCTTAAGATAAACGAATGACAATTACATCACACTAAAGAGGATGTGCAATACAATTCAATATCTATCTTAGACATACATATCCTATCTAACTAACTGTTCCATTTTTTGGTCTTTCAAAGTATCAAACTATAATTCTTCAAGAACAATTCATCATGTTGATCCAACCATTTAAGAAAATCACACCCCCAGACCCTGCGATAAAACTCAAACAAATTCAAGAAAATTGATTAGAAAACTTTTCAGTTGGAGCATCAACAGAATTCAACAATAAAAATTCAGATAGAACTTCGTGAATAAAGATTTCTGAAATACCAATTAAACTTACATGTAATATCATTGAGCATAAACATAATTAAGATTCTAGTTATCAATATTTCATAAAGTCATTCATCTTTATCAACTTGATGAACCTTATGATTTGCAAATTCCGCACAAAATGAAACTACTAATTAGGGGTGTCAATGGTTCGGTTCGGCCGGTTATTTTATAAAATTTGTACCATACCAATTTTTCGGTTATTCTATTATGTATAATCAAAATTAAACTTTTCGAAACCGTCCCAATCATATCGGTTTCTCTTCGGTATCGGTACGGTTCGGTTAATTTTCGGTATTTTTTTAATATCATATAAAAATCACCAATAGAAGTAGGATTGCAATAACATACGTTCTTTTATAGGACTTAGCAAAACTCTCTAGACATTTTTACTGTTTAAAGGGTGATGAATTAAAAAAAAGATGTCTAGAGTATAGATCCATCAACTATTCTACAACAGCGTAAAAGAAATCAAACAAAGGCAAAGAAAATATTAATCACACGAGTTGAAAGATATACCAAGCTGTGACTCAAGAATAAAGTCAATCGAAGATTAAATATTCAAAAAGATAAATCTAAATTATATGAAAGGAAACATATTCAATACATTGTAGTTTGCTACTCATAATCGCTAGAATACTTTGTGTCTTGCTAATAAAGATACTTGAAATAACTTAGTTTAAGTAGAAGTAGCATAATAGGTTTTAGGAATTAGTATTTTGAGTTTAATTACTTGTTGGCTTGTAATAGTTTTCATAATTCCAAGGCTCAAAGAAAATTTAATGCATTATTTTTTTAAACTTACTAAATAATTTTTAAACTTACTAAATAAATATAATTTCTACATGTAAAATTTATTCGGTACGGTTCAGTATTTTTCGGTTTATTTTTATAAAATAAAAAACCTACCCTAATTATCGGTGCGGTTATATATTTATATAAAAACCTACGGTTTCTTAAAAAGAAACCTAAAAAATGATTTGGTGCGGTAAGGTTCGGTCGATTTAGTCGGTTTTCGAATATCCATTGACACCCCTACTACTAACTACCGGTAAAATTATTATTACAAAATAAAGAAAACAATAACTGAGTTTTTTTTTAGAATTGATTAACGATATAGTGGCTCGTGGGCATTCTGAGATTTAGGTCTCAATTGCATTATGACCTCATTATTAAGCTTTCTAACCAAAGATGGTGACATCTACAAAACAAAATAATTCAAAATCAACAAAATATCAATAAAGTTGTAATTAGTTCGCAATAAAAAAAATTGAATGCTTAGAACAATATCATATACTACAATCGTTATAAAATATTTTTATAATTAAGTTACGATAAAAAGGGTATTCACCTCAGCAGTGCTTAGGATAATTAATGGATACACACGATATAATATTCCTTTGGCTATCAATTTTCAAAGGTCGATCATCATATGTAGAACAAAAAAACCCTATATAAGAGGGAAGAAAAGAGAAAACCATTTATTAACGTCCGAAACATTGACGGGTAAAAAGATATACAAAATATAAGGGCTTCATACTCCACACACATGCAGTCATACTTGATGGTAATCAAACACTTACCAGTGAAGCATGGGCCCATGGAAGGAAACTTGTGAACTTGAAGGAAGAAGTAAATAAAACAGAGGAGATTTAATTTACCACTGAAAGTGAGAGAAGGAAGACGATGAGATGTGTTATTATGCAAAAACATTTACCTCTGGTGAGAATAGAAAAAGGTGCAATGTGTGGAGGTAAATGTTGGGAATAGAAAAAGGGCAATGTGTGGATCACATGTGTATTAAGAATGAGCCTTTATCACGGAGAAATCGAAGAGGGGTAATTAATGTGGTTATAATTGTGGTTACAGTTGGTTTTTTTAAAATTTATTTAGAGTACTTAGATAAGAGGAAAAAGGGCAAAAATCTAAGAAACTAGATGAATAGAAGTACTGGCTTATGAGATATGCCACGTCCCTCTTTCAAAGCCCAACTTTATCATATATATATATNTCATCAGAAAATAATCATTTTAGCAAAGATATGACAATTCTACAAGGATCTTTGGTTTCAAGTAGCTTGAAAATAGTAAGTTTTGATCATAAATTATGTTAGATTATGCTTGAACGGTGTTTTCTAAGGTAGGATCAATAAACTAATTTGTAGTTACTGCGAAATTATCTTATTCAAATAAATAGACAAGTACTAGCTAGTGCTGCAAGAGAACTTGGTGGATATAACCGGTGAGTCTTAAGCACAGAGCATATGTTTAACTTTTAACTGTGACATCTAATATGATCATCGGAAAAACATTTCAAAACGTTTACCATAAAACGATACAGTTAAATTAATAGCGTGGTTTATAAACAAACGAATCGATTTGATCCAAAAATAATAAATAAATAAGAACAAAAATAAAATTAACGACTGAAATTGAAAGTGATAACAAGCCTGACTTAGAACTTAGCCTTTTCGGGGACAAAAGTAAAAGCAATTGTTTAGGTGTTCAAATTGAGTGTAACAAGATAATGGATATAGATTTTGTGTGCAGAGTGTTTTATGTCCCTATAATGACTGTTAACCCTGCTATTTATAGCCCTATTTAGGAGGACAAGATCTTAAAATTAAGCTCCTCTTGAATATAATGAGAATAAAATCGTCATTGATGGGTGCAAAATGACTGGCTTTAAATGCAGATATACTCTGTAACGGTTGTCTAATGAATGTTACCCGATGACAATGCTACAAATCTTTGTTATCGGTTCTTCTGTCTTCGGGGCTTGTTCAGTGTTGATAGCTTGCTCCTTGCAACCGATGACAGGTGTTCGCTGACTCACATCCCACATGTCTTTAATGCCACGTTTGTTAGAACATGCGCAGCGGAAGAAAGCATACAATTCAGGCATCACATACATGTAAACTAGACAATGATATAATTACAAGATTAGAACCACTAACCTCTTGAAAACGTCGCACAGGTCCTCCACAAAGCAAAGAATCCATGGCTGCAGTCTTCTGCTATGGTCCTAGTAAGACCTTGGACGAAATTGCTTTTAGTGGGCAAGAACAATACAACTCTTTAAAGTGTATTATTGGGTGAAAAATGTCTTCCTTATATAGACTCGTTTTCCAGCCAAAGAGGGCTCCAAACACGTATAGGATTCTGCTTGTGCAAGTAGAATCCTACTCTAACTCTACAAGATGACTTTTCTCCCAGGTCATTTTTTACCCAAGTTAGTCCAGGTCATTACTAAATATAGCAGGGACCACAGAAACAATAAAAGGCTACCAATTATAACGTTAATTCAAAAATTTGGATGAATTAATTCCTACTATAATTAATTGCAGTTTATTCCACTAAAAACTGCAATTGAACTCCTCAATATGAATTTTAAAAATTCACTAACACTTATTTTAACCCCCCATGTAAGATCACAAATTCCAGTTAATTAAATTAAATTACTGACAATTTAATTTAATCAACTAATTAAAGTCTTAATAATTTCGCTTAAACTATTCTATGCGACGGATACAAAATTCACCGGCCGAGTTCTCACATGAAAACTTATAAGCTTACATAAAGGGCACCATCAAACTCAAAACCGAGTCGTGGATTCTATCAACTAATTATTATTTCACAAATGCTATTCGTTATTGTCCATTCTATTAGGCATACACTAACTCTGAATAGGGTTGTAGCTTTTGATAAATCAAAACAATAAATAAATCACTTTGATCATAATAATTATATCAAGATTAGGAGTATAAGCTCATTTGATAAATTAGAGAAAATATTTTAAATATATTCAGTACAAAAATATCTTTTCTCTACTTGGTCCGTTCAATATACACTAAGTATACTATTACAAGAAGCCGGAGTAAAACCACTCCCATAATCAAGACAAACTATACTATAATCTTGTGCTACAATCATCAAAATATTTTGCCCAATAATATCTTCGATTGTGAACATAGTTTATTAATTATGAGAACCGACAATTTAATCTTCCGTGCATGAGCTAAGACTCCATACACTAAATTGTCTACTACATAACTAAAGGACACACATGTAACAAATGATCTATTTAAAATAGTACTTTATTGAATTGAATAAATTAAATAAATAATTGTTCCATAAAGAATAAAATACAATACTATGTCTAAACTGCATGGTTAATAGTATATCCCAATAATGTGTCACACTATCATTTGCCCAGTTGTCATCAACCAGCTTTACCCCATACAGATAGTCTTTCTACTTTCCGGTGACGCAACTTAGTATTATCAGGAAGTAGATAAGAATTTCTTTTCTTGGCCGGAAAGTTCCTGAATGGTCCCTAACATTCGAAAGGACGCACGTCTTCTCGTATTTAATAACCCAAACATGTGTTACTCAGTGATTTAGTAAGTATGTTCCCCTATTTTTGTTGTCTTTAACTTCTCCATTACTCATCTTTTTTACTCTTTACTTTCATTATTTTCACAACTCTTTCTCCTTCTCTTAAATTTCCTTAGTACTTTTCTACAAAAATCGATTTTCTCAGTAAGAACTTTTTCACTGATCTTTTACCACCATGTCTTCTTACACTGCTATCTCTGAAAGTACTAGTAATCTTTTAGGTGGAGGCCCAAAGAAAAACAAAACCAAAGAGGTTGACGTCGAGTCTGAACCTCCAGCCATAAACACCATCATACCACTTCATCTTAGTACCAGATCTGATCTCTGGGAGCAAAAAGCACCTGCAAATTTTATAAGTGGGAGGTTTTGGCCTGTTCGTAGGAACCCTGCCTCCATTCGTCCTTCCAGTATCCTTGTTGTGAAGGAGGACTATAACTACAACAATATCGAAATCTTTTCCATAGACGGAGGTACTCTAGAGCGGGGTTCATGTATGTATATACATACCCATTCACTTTGGGTCCCTTCACCTTAGGATCGGATGAAGGACTTGACCAATAATCTTAGAGTTGTGCCACTGGTACCAGGTCTTCTTGGAACAAGTAGGCCCATTTATATGGCGTACGGTGGATTGACTCCGTGCGTATGGGGATGTGCTGAAACTCAGCAAGCGTGGTCACCACGCCTTTCTCACCAGTGGCGGATCCAGAATTTTCATCAAGGGGTGTCATAATATAAATAATTAGATATATCGAAAAGTGAAGGGGAGTCAATGTATTGTAAATATACATAAAATAAAAAAGTTATCTAGCAAAATAGTATAATTTTCCGGCGAAGGGGTGTCGCTTGACACCCCTTGCTTCAATGTGGCTCCGCCATTGCTTTTCACCAGTATTGATGATAATAACTATCGTGGATGGATGGAACGGTTCGTCATCATTGCTACTGAGGAAATCATCCCGGCCACAACTCCAGTCGTTCCCGAATCATGGAACCTTTTTCGTAAGTCGTCGTATATTTGTTTTCTTTTCTTCATGCAAAAACTTTCTCCTTAACTAACATTTTGTTTTCTTCATTCCAGCTACCCATTGGGTACCACCACGGGTTCAAGAACTGACCCAATGGGTTAAAAAAATATTAGATATCACTACTCCGTAAACCCAATGATGGAAAGAAATGGCCCCCAAATACGGGCGGAGATCCAAGAACTACGGTAAGCAAAATTCTTCTTTCTTTCAATCTTATCTGTGTAATTTACTAACTTTTTTTTGGCTTTTATAGGTCTTCCGAGGGGTTTTTGTCACGACATGAACCGATGGACCGCGACGGGCACCCGGTACCTTACTCAACCGAGTATCAACATAATGTATCCTTTTATGTCATACTATCATAGATAACTGAGCTGGAAGGTTGCCATGAGATAAGTAGAATACAACATGTGATACCAACTTATACATAAGACAACGGGCCTACAAGGGCAAAATAACCACTCGTATACTGAACATAGGTGTCACGACCCCAAATACCGGTCGTGATGGCGCCTATCACATTACTAGGCAAGCCGGACCAACTATCAAACCACAACCCCATTTTCTCTTTAAATAAATCATTTTCTAACACGGTTTAATTACCAATTATCATAATAAGTGTGTAAAACAGCAAGTTAGATATGCGAAAGTCAACAAGACATAAAAACTACACAGCCCACACTGATCTAGTATCACAAGTCTAGAGCCTCTAATACAAGTCTGAACAACCTACTACATAGATAGTCTAGGAATGCGGGAAAGTTATAAGATAGAAGGGAGAAAATCAGGGTTGCGGACGCCATGCAGCTACCTCGAAATCCCTGGCAATTTCTGAATGACTGAAAGCTCTCACTCGGCCTCTGGGGCACCTGGATCTGCACGCAAGGTGTAGGGAGTAATGTGAGTACTCCGACCCAGTGAGTAATAAATATAAATAATGACTGAAAGTAAGAAAACACGTATACACAGGGTATTCTATAATGAAGCAATTAAATAGGTAATTTGTAAGCAGTAAACCAATGAAAAACAAAATAAAGTACTTCTACAACAAATAAACAGGTAATTGACAGACAGTTATGATAAATTAAACACATAGAAGTTCGCCCCTCGGGCACAGTATCAACAATTTCCGCCCCTCGGGCTCAATCTCACATCACAATGGGTACCCGCGCTCACTGGGGGTGTGCAGACTCCGGGAGGGGCCCCTTACGGCCCAAGCGCAATTTCAAGCCATCTCGTGGCATCAAATCTAGGCCCTCGACCTCATATCAATCAAGCCACCTCGAGGCGTATATATGTATCTCAGGCCCTCGGCCTCATATCAATATC